AACCGGCCAGTAATCCGAGATTACCGAAGGCCTGCAGAACAGTAATAGTAAAACAGAGTACAGGGCCTGGCGGAAGCCAATACAGTAAATGAATAATGTCCATTGAGCTGTGTCAGTCTGTATGCCAAAAAGATTTTTCATGCATTCACATATACAAACAGTACAGTCTATACAAAACTTACAGTCACACAGTACAGGGACCTAATCCCTTGATAACGATGAAACAGAGGTACCTGCCAAAAATGAGCGAAAACCGATGCAAAACGAATGTTCGGGGCCCAAAACGCGCAGTTCGGGGCCTCGAAAACTGCCTGTTAAGCACCGAAAGTGGCACTCGACCATGAAGTGGGTCTCTCAGACCTCAGTGTCCCTCAAAAGGGAGTAAATAAGATGCATGCCAAGAACCGGGGCAAATGGAGGTAGTTAAGCACTCCCGAACCGAGGCACAGGGCCTGACAGCTCTTAAAACAGGGAACCGGGCTCCGAAATGGGAAAAATGGCCTACAGCCACAAAATGTAGCCCATGGCCACTGAGAGATGGTTTACGGGACCTCTCCTTTTCCTCAGGAAAAGAAACAGAGAAAACCGAGTCTGGTTCGCAAACCGAGGCAAGGCACAGAAGAGGGTTCGGAAGTCCGGAGGCAAGGCTCGCAGCCGAGACTCTGAAACTTCTGAACGAGCACATTATGCAGTATCACCAAGCGCTCAACTGGTGACGTCTGAGTCTCAAGGTCGGTCAAAAATGGGGTGTCTACAGGGTGTACAATTTTTCATAAAATTATATCGTACTTTGGTAGCAGCATTATGGCGTGCTGCTATGTTAAATTAATTAGTGGTACATCAATTGTTAAACATATGCGCAGAATTTTGAATTCCGAAAATGATGTATTGGGTGTTAGATTCTCTCCTGATGTTGTTGGGTTATTGTTTGTGTACATAACAATTGAATTTGGTCCCCAAATATTATGGTGTCTAAAATAGTTGTTTTATTGGACTTTACCAAGACAAATTTTGCAATTTTTGTGTGCTACATTATCTGGTAATACATGGAGGGTGACAATATTGGGAAGACGATGGATGGGAAAACGCCAGACGAACTACGTGCGACAATGGTTAAGATGTTTTTGAATGACTCAATCAGAGGACTCTGTGCTTTGACACGTTACTAAGGTTGTCCTCAGTCACCACATCACCACCATTTTATTTACACAGGTTTTGGTTTTAGAAATTTGTTCGTCTTCTAGCCACTTACTGGACAATCGAAAGTAGACAATTAATGTTTTTTACGTGTTAGTTTTGGGTACAATTTTTTTTCGGCCTGTGTATGATGACGGTTTTATTTGGTGTACGTATTTTTTTGATGAATGTTTTAAAGTTCAAAGATTGACAAATGTGTTTTTGTGGCATTGAGCAGTAAGTGTGGGTTTTGTCTATAATATTTGGGTTTTTGGAATAAAATTGGCCATGGTTTTGAATATCATTTGGTTTGAAGTTCATTAAAATAATAAAAGATTCAAGGTAGAGTATGTAATTGGTTTCAGGAAATTAGCATGTATTTTGAGTGTCTGAAGTTGGTGTATGATAACAGCATGGTAGCAACGATATTGTATCAAATATTAGTAAGTATGCGACTATGCTAGAATATGCGAAAAGCAAGTAGTAGCACCATAATATACGTTGTATTACGAATTCTTGGTTCATGAAACGTCTTGGCGAACTTGATGTGGACTGGACTGTCAAGTGATTAAAATCGGTGACAAACAAAACTAGATTAGGTATCCCGAATGCTTAATGTGTAAAATTAAACATCGAACGTCTTGATCCCTTCATCCAAAAAATATGATGTACGAGCATTGAACAGTCCCAAATACCATGTTTCCCAGATGCTTTTGCAGCAAATGCACAAATGTTGACATAAGTTAAGAAAAAATTTCCACCGACTACATGTATTACTCAAATTGATCCAAATTTTGTATATAAATATATTAAGGTTGGAAAACATCCAATAATGTAGAAGCATATGAAGGTAAAATGTTGCTGAGCCACAATGTCGTTAAAAAAAAAAAAAAAAAAAAAAAGTGATCAGCCATTATTTGAGCAATGGGTTGGGAACAAAAATTGGACAAAGTAGATCATTTTGCACGCTACATCGGTTCCTTGCATGTTTTCCTATTGTGATGACCCATTTTGCCACAATGTCCACACCGAATGTGTTGAATAACCTCACTATTCGATGTAATTCTTTTCCTCTTGGGCCTACTGGGAGGACGCTTGTACACAGGTGGCGTAATGAGATAGTCTGTTACAATGAACTTCGATTTTCCCGTAGTGGGAATTGTGTGGATAGACCCCCCATATGCTGCCTTATAATCCTCAACGTGATAAAATGATTCTATGGCATCGTAAATGTTCTTTCCACTATTTCGGAAAGTAACAACCGCATGTGAATACGGGAACCCATTCAGTTGCCACTGGAAACAAAAACATGAGCGGATGCCAATGTCGACTAAAACTGGTGGGTAAGACGAACTTTGAACACATTATCATCTGATTGACTAATTATCCATGACCTGCTATCTTCGTACGCAGTAACCAAATTTTTTTTCCATTTTCGGGCAAATTTCGCCAACCTACCCCATTGATTTGACTTTACGCTTTGACCTATATTCTATGATCTTCCTCCTAGCTGCATCCACCAACTGAGTAGTGAGAAGGTAATGAGCTTTCCCGAATCCAGTTGTTGAAAGACTCGGCAGTGTTAGACCACATTTCGCCCTTCTTATGTCCCCTATGGGGACCAAAAAATTAAATTAGTTACATTCATAAGATGCAATGGTTGGAATACATTATGTAGTGTATATGTAACTAGCATCATACCCGAAGTACGCATTAGACCGATGTTCAGGATCCAAATCTTTCAAAAAATTTCTAACCACCGCTGGGCTACACTGTAACAAAATATTTATTTTTGGTTAAAGGAATTTACTATAAGGGCGTAAGCGCATTCACGTAACTTTCACATGATTCCGATTTTCTGATCAGTATTAACATATTTCATGCGGTCTCGAAGATTCATCTGCAAATGTAGCAAGCAAAATGCATGGTGTGCGGTTGGGAAGACCGTATGCATCGATTGTACCAACCCCGCATTATGGCTGGACACAAAAGTTAAAGTCCTAGAATAATCTACAACTTTAGACAAATGACGTAAGAACCATTCCCAGTTACATGTGTTTTCAGAATTGACAATAGCGAAAACGACGAGGAATAAACCTGCATAAGATGTGTTTATGTAACGTATAAGCCAATAATAAGTTCGTACTGGATTGCAAAATAAAAAATAAATTTAAATAGAAATATGAAATCCATGTTGTGATGTGTGACAATAGTGTAACACAACTATGAAACTGTACAATGAACCATTACAAAAATAAACGGCATACCTTGGTTCCTATCCTTAGCGGTAGCCGCGAGTAACGTCCCCTTGAACCTTCCCTTTAGAAATGTACCATCCAAAAATAGAAACGGGCGACAATTGTTGAACCCATCGATGCATGAACGAAAAGATATGAAATACCTGACAAAATGTCCAGTTTGTTGATTGAAATCCAAATTAATATAACTATGTGGGTTGTTTTGCATTACAGCATCGCTATACCACCTGAGTTGGTTGAATGACATATTGTGATCACCGAATACTTCACTCCACGCTTTTTCAACCCCTAACCAAGAAACCTGGTAACTAATGTCTAACCCATAGCCGCCTTTCATGTCAAATACCACATTCGTTGGGCGTGTGAGTGGTTGTTCACACACACGACATGCGATAACGCCGGATACTAAATCTGACCCTGTTCGTGGGTTTCTGTATGTTCGTACAACAGGCCCACAAGAATGCATGTGATTGAACCTTTTCAAACAAAAAATCTCGTTCTAAGCAGACACCCTTGCGTGTATCAACCACTCACACCTAGTGGACGTTGCAAACTTGCATATACCAGTGACACGGACGGAGTTTTTTTTCACGTACTTAAATTGAAAATCGCATTCAACAGCATACTTGCAAAGTACCGTCCGGAATTCATGCACACCCTTAAAAAAAGATTGGCCAACATTTGTACCGAACGCCCATCCAGCAGACAACAACGTCTTCTTCTTATGGGGACAATAATCCGATAACAAATCAGTACGGTCCTCCATATCGGGCGTCCGCTAATCTGTTAGCTCGCTCAGCCCATCATCGGGGGACGTTGCCACACCAAGTTGACTGCCCAACACATTATTTCACTTTTGAATTAGCGCATCAATATGATCAAGACCAAATGACTTTGCAAGTGACAACATGTTTTGCGCATCATTGTCACACTCAACCTTAAACTTATTGTAACTAGGAATGGTGAACAAGAAATAAACCAGTCTCCGCTTACGTATATCAAATTTTTGGCAAACAGTGTCAACCAACCGAGCATATGTGAATGTTTGGTGAATACGAAACACCGCGTTTGCCTGCCCGAATGTACACAACAACAATAACAACGCGAACTCCATGCCTGGAAAAAGAAAGACAGTAATACTTTAGAAAAAATCCCACACATATTTATAATAACAAGGATGTGACTACGTACAACCAATCGACCATTTGTAACCACAGTTTTATGCGGTTGCACAACCACTTAAAAACAATGTTCTATCGTAAACGACAATCCAGAGAGATTAATAAAACAATAACAAAATACCAAACTCCATAAACTATTTGTGTTTTTAAATATATAATGTTAATGTTAATTTAGAAAATAACATTGGAACATTGGGATTGCAAACAACAACAAAAGTATCAACACATTACAACCCCAACCACCATTGATAATCCCGTCAGCACATTCGAACATTACCAAAAAGAACAAAACGGGGGGAAAACCAATAGTAATGTTGATGGCATGGCACTACACCATTGGCAAACAATATAAAATTTGGCACACTAGCAAGACAGTCGCCGACCCAAACAATAAACAGATAAACAATAAGACAATCAAAACACAAAACCCATCATATCCATATCACCAAACACCAAACCCCATAACCCGCTGAGTTACTCCCATATCAACATCGGCCATCACACTTACGTGGAACACATCCGAACCCAATCCAAAAAACACATTACATCCAATAACAGAAAAAATCAAATAAACAACACCTGAATCGAACTTGTAGAGCACATCCACTGTAAACCTAGAAGAAGATTCAATCAGTAACACCCAAATCCCCCACCTACAAAAATGTATTCAAACACAATGAACACCAATTGAGAAACACCTCAACCTCCCTCTTCCCCGCAGTCCACACAACCCCTCCTTCAAAAAAGGCACTCATGGAAGAGGTTTAATAATTTATTTAGGGTATCTAACATAACTGTTTACTAATAATAACCCCCAAAGGAATTTATGAATTGAACCAATGGTGCACTTTGAAAACGCCATCGTTGAAGATAGGAAAAACTCCTAATCTTTCAACCGGAGATATATAATTCAGAAACAGATTGTAAATTTGCCGTGTGGGTGAGATAAATGCAGATCTTCGTGAAAACCCTAACCGGGAAGACCATAAACCCTGGAGGTCGAGTCGAGTGACACGATTGACAATGTCAAGGCCAAGATTCAGGACAAAGAAGGTATTTTTGTGCACTTGAAAGTGTGTTATCGAATTCGAAAATCATAATTCTTTTCCTCGATTATGGATGTGATTGATTTCAGGTATTCCAACAATGTCTGATATTCACCGGTAAACAGCTCGAAGATGGTCGTACACTCGCCGATTACAACATTCAGAACGGTTTTATTTGAAAAACTTATATTTGTTTATATATTTATGATTCGTGGTGTATTGTGATATGAATGGAATGTGATTATACAGAGTCGACTCTGCATCTTGTTTTGAGGCGTCGTGGCGGTGTATCATAGAGCCTTCTTTGATGGCATTGGCTCGAAAGTATAACCAGGACAAGATGATCTGCCGCACGTAAGTTCGAATTGATCTTTATTATTATGTTCCATTTGGATGACTGTTTTTTGAAATTTTGAGATTTGACTAAATTTAAAAAAAATAAAAAATAAAAAATTGTAGAAAGAGTTATTTAGATAATCATAGAGTGGAAGATTGAATATAGTCACGAAATATGAATTTTGTTAAGGTTATTGTTCTGGTAGAATCATTGGATCTGAAATAACTCTATTTTACATAGTTATTTCAATTTCATCAATCTAAAGCTTTGAATTTCATTTTCAAACATAAATCTACAGTGCTACATTGAAGTGGTGCTAAATCTATTCATTTCAAATTCATAAATCCAAATGCAACCTAAATGGATTTGATGATGCTCTTTAGGACTAAGTTCAAAGCTGTGCAAACTCTTGTCTTGAATTCTTTCTTGCCTCATTTAAAATCTGTTGAAGATAATCAGTGCCTGTTGGGATCGACCATTTCACTTTAGTTCTTTAAATGAATTCGAAGTCAGTCTACTGGTTTCTCAAACTTGTTTAGTTCATTTGTAATTTACTCGTTAATTGAAAAACTTTTGCAACTCAAGTCAAGGATTTTTGCAAGCCTAATGTATTAACAGTGTGGATATGATTGGCAAATCTCATATTATGATTACTCTCTCTCTCTCTCTCTCTATATATATATATATATATTAATTTTATTAGAGCATGGAGCTTTCAACTACACCATTACTGCTACTCCCTCTGTCTCTCTTTAATCTTTCTATGCACATCTTGACAACACCCCCCTTTAGGTGCTAGACACACAAGTGTAATCTTGTGCACACACATTATCTCTCCTGGTCTCCTATTGTCCCTGAACAAAATCATTGACACAGTTTATTGTTTTACTTTCTTTTTTTTTTTAATGTAATTATCAATACCTAAGAATTCCGTTAGACAACTATAAGGTAGTGTTTGGTTCACTAGAATGGAGTAGAATGAAATGATGATTTCATCAAAATATTCATTCCCATATTTTGTTGACTAAAAAAAATAATGAAAAATACATTACAAATGGAATCATCATTCACCATTATAAGAGAATGATCATTCCATCGAAGAGCTTAAGGAATGACCATTCCATTTCATTCCGTTCCATCTCCTTCAATATAGAACGTAAGGAAGAGGCATTGAAATCTGTTTGTTGACTTTTTTGCCACATTTTCTTCAGTATTTTTCTCATCTTTTTCCATAGTATGATACTTTACCTTTTTACTTTATTTACAAAGCAGATCAATTTTGTGTGAGTTTTATTCATACTTCCGAGTGTTGAATTGTGTTTCAGATGTTATGCTAGTCGCATCCTCGTGCTGTCAACTGCAAGAAAAAGAAGTGTGTGGGCACAGCAACCAGGTATATTGCTTTTGTCTGTAATCCATCAATTGATATTATTTTTTTCTTCTTCTTGATATGAATTAATTTCCTTGATCTATGTACCAAAGAAGAAGATCAAGTAGAGCACGGACTACCAGAAATGTTTTACACATAATTTTCATTGGGAGCAATTTATGGGCCAGTTATTAGAGTTTTTAGGGGATTGGTTGTTGATTTAGACCCTTGTCTATGGGCAATGAAATGCTTCTTTGTTTCATTATGGATTTTGACAATTCAGGTTTTGTTTTTGGTGCATGTTGACAGCCATTTTATCAATGCATGTTTTTGATATATTTAACTCTTTGATCTTAATAGTCAGGTTATTAATGATTTATAGAAGCTTTTTTTTTAGTCTGTCGTTGGGATGAAATTTGTGTTACTGAGTTCCATGGTTCTGCGATTCAAATCAAACATTTCAAGAAATTGCAAAATTTTTGATGGATTTCTGTACGAGGGCCTTTCTGTTTGTTGCTTTCGAAGTCGTATATCATAATCATACAATGCCTTGTTAATGTACAGTGCAAAGCACCCCGACTAGGATGAATCGATATGGGAAGATTGCATTCCTTTTGAAATTTAAATGGAAATTGGGCATTATCATGTCATTGCTTTATCTGAAGAAGTTTGAATTGCCTGTGAAACACGGTTGGCTTGCCAGTTGATGAAGTTGAATTGTGCGAGAAATATGCTTGCCTTACTGATTGAATTTCAGGCTGAATACACACTTTCCTGACAGCGATGAGCAGCTGTGTCAACCTGCAAAAGCCTAGGATTAAGACAATCTTGCTTCATTAGTTTGTATATCTAGATTTTAATTTCCAATAATTATTTAATAGCAGGTGCCAATTAATAATTGTGTTGTTTGACGAAACCAATCTGATTAAAATTTGGTTTTTCTTCTTCTTTTTCTTATTATAATCTGAAAAGTTTATTTTAATCTGCTGCATGCAATGAATGTGACTGAAGGTAATAAGCACAGTAAAAACAACGGAGTAGATGTGAGCAAAATCATTTGCCCATTAGTTTCATGTGAAATATACCCTTCTTAAGAGTATGTATTATATGTATCTTATAATTAAAAAAAATAAAAATAACATAACTTTATACTTTATAAATAAGGACAAAAAAAAAAAAAAAAAAAAAAAAAAAAAAAAAAAAAAAAAAAAAAAAAAGATTAAGACAATCTTGCTTCATTAGTTTGTATATCTAGATTTTAATTTCCAATAATTATTTAATAGCAGGTGCCAATTAATAATTGTGTTGTTTGACGAAACCAATCTGATTAAAATTTGGTTTTTCTTCTTCTTTTTCTTATTATAATCTGAAAAGTTTATTTTAATCTGCTGCATGCAATGAATGTGTGACTGAAAGGTAATAAGCACAGTAAACACAACGGAGTAGATGTGAGCAAAATCATTTGCCCATTAGTTTCATGTGAAAGACTATATATACCCTTTTTAAGAGTATGTATTATATGTATCTTATAATTAAAAAAAATAAAAATAACATAACTCTATACTTTATAACTCAGGACAAAAAAAAAAAAAAAAAAAAAAAAAAAAAAAAAAAAAAAAAAAAATCATAACTAAATATCACATGAGTTATAACTAAAGATCTCGTGAGTATAAATTAAAAAAATGTCATAATTAAAGAAGAAAACAACATAATTAGAAGAGTATATGGTATGCCTCTTTCAAGGAGTATGTATAGTAGAATTTCTTTAGTTTCATAGATGTTCCAATTATTATTCAAGAAATTTATGGAATTTATTTTATTTTTTTCAAATCTCAAAAGTAGTTTACCTATAAATAATAATTTGTTTTATTTACCAAAAAAATAATTTGTTTTGAAGAATAAAATAAAAAATAAAAGTAAAAACTAGATTGACAGCTGTGGGATTTGAACCCACGCCCTTTCGGACCAGAGCCTAAATCTGGCGCCTTAGACCACTCGGCCAAACTGTCATTGTTGGAGCAATTTAATAAACATAATATTATTATATTATATTCTTTAAGTTGGTGTCCACTCATCTATTTTTAACTGAACGTATTATTGTAGTTTAATTAGGCTGCAATGTTTTTCTTGTTGAAACATCAATAAATTTTAAAATGTGATTTTGTGAATGGTTTAGTCTTCAATTTTTTTTTTATAAATTCAAAAGTTTATTGAAGTGGAAATTATATAAAAAGGTAGTTACTTACATGTTTGAGTTTAATTTTTTTAGGGATAAAAGTGATTTTTTTCAAAATACGAAATTACATGTTTGGGCAATTTGTATTATAGAAGCTTTAGATTTCCCTCATTCTAGAACAAATCACACATTACGAATAAAAACCCAAACTCTAATATAACACTTCAAAACGTAACACTTCAATATAACATACTAAAAAACTTATTGGTGTACTTTTTCCAAACGTAACAACATAACACTAAAAAAAAAAGAATCTTTAGTGTACTTTTTCCAAACGTAACTCTTCAATGTAAAAAAAATCCTTAGTGTACTTTTCCTAAACGTAATACTTCAATTAGTATATTCCCAAATGTAATACTTTAATGTTACATATTCTAATGTAACACACAAAAATACTAAAAAAATTCTTTAGTGTACTTTTTTGAAACGTAGCACTCACCGTTTGAAATTATACATTTGTTCAAAATTTAATAAGGAATATTTGTACTCCTTTCAGAATGGTTTGAAGAATCTCACAATTTTTTTTTAGAGTTACATTGGAGTGTTATGTTTAAAAAAAGTACACAAAGATTTTTTTTTTTTGGTGTGTGTGTTATATTGAACCGTTACGTTTGGGAAAAATACACAAAAGAGTTTTTTTTTGTGTACATTAAAGTGTTATACTAAGAAATTTTATTGAAATGTTATATTGAAGTGTTACGTTTGGAAAAAGTAAACTAAAGAGTTTTTTTTTTTTTGTTTGTTACATTATAATGTTACACTAAGGAGTTTTTGTGTGTTACATTAGAGTGCTACATTAAAGAGTTTTTTTTAGAGTATTTACATTTGGAAAAATAACATCAAGAAGTTTTTTTGTATGTTATATTAGAGTGTTACACTAAGGAATTTTTGTATGTTATATTAAAATATTACATTAAGGCGTTTTTTTGTGTATTATATTAGAGTGTTACGTTTGAAAAAAATATACTAAGCAATTTTGTTGTGTGTTACATTAGAGTGTTACAATAAGAAATTTTTTTGTGTGTTACTTTAGAATGTTACACTAAGGAGTTTTTTTTTAGAGTGTTATATTGGAGTGTTACGTTTGAAAAAAGTACAATAAGGAGTTTTTTTTTTTTTTTTTTTGTTTTACATTAGAATGTTACGTTTGTTTTTTTTTTTTATGTGTTACATTAGTATTACGTTTGGATATTAATAAATGTCAATATTACGATAGGGACGAACACCACAAAAAGAAACGAACACTACACCAATAACACCACAAATGGGATAACATCATCTACCTACAAATCATTACACTAAATCTCCACCAAAAAAAAAAAAAAAAAAAGAAACGTAAAAACTTACTTTAGCCACACACACCCAACATTAGGAAAAAATCTAAACAAAATCACACATAAGGACAAACAAGTAAACTTTTAAATCCCCAAATCAAGAAAATACAACATACTCAAAATAAAAAGGACTAATTGATTTGAAAGAAAACATTTAAAACTAAATAAAATAACTTTTCCCAAATGAAATTTATGAATAATTTTTCCATTTTTTTTTTCCTTTGATGTTTAAGTCTATGAACTTTGTTTGCGTATTAGCATTTAATGACTTTATATATGTACATTCACCACTTCAGTTTCACTTGTTATTCACATTGATGAATTGCAAAACAAAAAAATGGACCCAAATTATTATTATTTTACTTTCTTTTCATATCTCATGAGAAACAAATAATGGATAATCTTTTTGATTGCCAAATCATTGATTAATTGGTCAATTTCTGAAACAAGACAGAAGCATTAGCATTTAGCATAGGGTGTGTGATGCTTTGTTATTGGTAGTTGCTTCAACATTGGGCAATTTTAAAGCATCAGCATCACTCAAAACACTACCAATTTTTTTTTTTTTTTTTTTGAAAAAAAATGCATTTTTGTTGCAGGGGTCTTGGTTGTTTATGACAATGAAAATAAGAATAGTTGGTTCTCAATATACGCGTTAAGTATCTTCAACTTACTCATACAAGTTATGGTATAGATTATAAGTTTACTTTGTTTCATATGAATTTGTAGAAAGATGGAAATGGTTGGTAGAAACTCTGCTTTTGTCTTGCTCGTCTTGTTTTTCATGAAAACCGGTCCGAATGTCCAATGTAAGGAAGAGGGTTGTGGTAGTTTATATGTTCTTTTTCAAGGAGGGAGTGGAATGCAAAGTATGGCATGTCTTGGAAAAAATGACAACTTCAAATCAATTATTAGTGTAAATCAACGGTAAGCGCAACGGATATAAAAAAAAATATGGTGATACCTTTTTATGCAGAGTCTGAATTGAAGGATCTCATGGGTAAATCACGTGCTTCCTAAATTTGATCAATCAACTCAGCAATGGAGTGATATTACAGAATGAATATCACCCACACAAATCACAGTGCAAAATGGCTTGATTGTTGTTCAATGAGAGAGAGTCAAAGAAAGAGTCTGGGAAAAAAAGTTATGGGTAAAAACTACATAACGTATCTGTGATATCGATATATTATATCCATCATATCAGATGTATATAATATATAACAACCAACATCTATCTATCCATCTATCCATCTATCTATATCAGTTAATATGATAGATATAGATAACTTGAGTGGTTATCCAAATAAGTTTTGAATTCAAAATTCAAACTTACATGGATAAGGTTCAAAAGGTTCAGGTTTCAAAAGGTTCAAAAGGTTCAGGTTTCAAAAGGTTCAAAGGGTCATGCCATAGAGGCGTCCAATGTCTAATATCTCCCACTCGCATATGAGTTGGCATGACACTGCCACATCTCTATCTCAATCTCTCCAAAAATGGACAATCTCATATTAGCCACTGCACCGTGCGACTGCTGAGAACACCTGCATGTGGAAGCTCTATACTAGAAACTCAAAATGAGCCAGTATAGAGACATCAACCCAAAAAAAATAGAAATAGTGTCTCACATACCCCAGATCCATCTAATTACACTAGTCCAAAAATATCTCTAATCTCTCAAAAAGAGCATGTTTGACCCTCTTAATTCTTGCAATATATTCACACTCAATCCGCCTCTCATACAGAGCGATGTGAGTTGCCGGCAGTGAATATACAACAGTGGTGTAATACTAGATGATCTTCTCTTTGCCTTCATGCCATTTAGTTTAGGATTGACCGCTTTCCCGTGATATCCCTTAAGGCCGAATCATACATGACCGCAGGCAACATACCAAAGTAGCAGAACATCAACCCCTTACCTTATGACATAGTCAAAAGTCACAAAAGGATACATAAATAAAAGTCATATCAATAATAACACGTAAGA